CCCTATGCTAAAAATAAGTGTATAACTTTGATTGGGCATGTAAATTAGATGAGCATAAGTAGGTTTTTCATTCCTGGAATTCAATATTTTGATGGGTGGATTTGGTAATCATCCTCAGGAAAAGGAAGTGGCCAAAGAAGGGAATAGACCTTGGGGGCTGGCTTTAGCGATGTTATCTTAATGTTTTTAGCAAACCAGAGGCGGGGGGGAGGGGGAGAAGGCAAGGTCTGCCAGTGCTATTTGTGCAATGCTTGGGCCTCTGGATTCCCTTCAATTGTATTCTGATAGTCATGGAACATGAGTTATTATACAAATCTCTGTTCTTAGATAGGTTTTAACATAAACATCCAGTAAGTGTTGTTAGAGTTGCGGCTATTACACTTTTTTCTTTAGTTATTATTTGGTAAATGTTCGTTTCTGGTTGTTGTTTGCATATAGAAATAGTTGATGTTTGGATTGTATTTGTTGACCAAGATAAGATGGTGAGGTGTGTGTGAGTGAATATACAGACTGAAATCCTGAATTGGCTTCAAGGTCTGATTAGGTCAGCAGAGCCTCTTTGTGGAATAAATGATTTTTTTAAAGTAAGGATCCTATTATCAGATTCCTTGACTGGCCTGGAACTCTCTAGGTAGACCAGGCTGGCATTGAACTTGTTGTGATCCTCCACTCTCAGCTTCCAGACAGCTGGGATTATAGGTGTATGCTATTATGGCTACCTCAAATGATTTTTTGAATGGGGGATATTTGAAACAGGTTTCTCTGTGTAATAGCCCTAGATGTCCTGACACCCACTCCGTAGAACAGGCTGGCCTTGAACTCACAGAGATCCTCTTGCCTCTGCCTCCTGAGTGCTGGGATTAAAGTTGTGCTGCACCACCAATGCCCAGGATTTTAAAAACTTTTATATGTGAGTGCCTACATGTGTTTATGGACACCACACACATGCAGGTGCCTGGGGAGGCTTTAGACTATCTGGAACTGGAGTTGTGTTAGGGCTGAAAGATCTGCTCCAGCCCCTACCCAGGGTACCAAAGGTGAAATGTTTCTCAGAAGGGAAGGAGGGGGTAAAGATTTGTATAGTAACTTCACACACAATCTGAGGGCCATACTCTTTATTTCCTGTGCTCCTTATTGTTGTGTTTCTACTCTAAGAATCCTGTCCTACTTCTAACTTCTCTATGCTTCTTCTTCTATTCTAAAATCTCTTCTTCTTCAGGATCCTTGAAGTGATAAAGAAATTTCTCTTGGTGCTCAAAAGCACATTCCTATGGGAAGTTATAAGGAACTGAGCCTTTTACCATGACAAGATAAGGGTCCAAGGCCATAGGAGCAAAACCTCTACCAAACAGGGAGGGGAGGGCACAGTGCCAATGACAACTTTAAGGCACAGATCTATTGTTAGAAGACTGGCAAGTGAAGAATTGGCATGCTTTTCTTAGTAACCTTGGTAGACATCTGTGACTCTGACCTGTGCAAGCTGTAAAGCTTTCTAAAAACCTTTAGTGTAGTTTGAACCTGCTCTGAGGTGAAAGCGAGCTAATTGTATACAGTTAGGCTGAGCAAGAGAACAAGGCAGCTGTTATAAGTCCATAGTCCTTGTGGGACAAATAGATCCAGTCATGAAGCATGTCCTAGTATTTATTCTATACATCAAAACTATATAACTATATGAAAAGTCATCTTCCACACCATCCATAGAGTATTAGCACACTGCAGTGCTGTGGGAAGCATCCCCAAGCTGCAATGTGAGGGAAAGACATTTTCACACAAGAATCAGCAGTGGAAGCAGCTGTCACTTTCAGAAGGCAGTATTCCTTATTGCCTTGCAGATAAGGTTGAGATGTGCATCTATGGTTACAATATTACCCATCGCCTTGCTAAATATCATATGTCTTTCGAGATACAAGAAACCGCTAATGGATTGATCCCTGATGTATGTGTTCAACTCCCACTGCATAAATCCACAGTCCATAGCAACTACCCACCTTAGTTTTTGAGACAGACTTTCTCCACAAATCTGAATTCACATATTTGGGTAAAAAAAAATTAGTTGTGAGAATAGTTTTGTAGATTCTCTGGGATTTTCAGTGTCATATTGTCTGCAAAAAAAACACAGCTTCATTTTATAATTTCTGGCCCAAATGCTTTAGTATGCAGTGTCAGGATGAATGTGAGTGGTGAGAATGGAAGCCCTAGGATTTTTCCTAGAATGCAGGGGCAAACATTTAGTGCATCTATAACAATGATGCTGGTGAAGCCTTTTTTATTTAAATTAGAAACAAGCTTCTTTTGCATGTCAATCTCAGTTCCCTCTCCCTCTCCTCCTCACCTGCCCCCCACCAGCACTCTTGTCCCAACAACTTTGTGCTCCCCAGGGAGGGTTAGGCCTGGAGAAGGCTTTTTGTAACTGCTTTTTATTGTCTTACAGAAGTTGACATCTGGCCTGTAGTGGTGGTTCATCACTGCAATCCCAATACCTGGAGAATAAAGAATTGGTGCAAATATATGGGTGGCCTGGCCAGTGTAATGAGACCCTATACCAAAACAAAAACCACCACAGCAAGAAGCAATCATCTCCAAATCCCAAAGCCCAAATTAAATGAAACAAGAGAGCAGACTTGCCCTGCACTGGGGACTGTTTTATCGTTCATGGTTACCCTGTCAGGATATTTATTTAGCTGTTTGCAGAACCCAGCATTTTGTTTTGTCTTCTTAAGTTTTCAGTCTGGTGATTTATATGTTTTTGCTTCAGCCATTTTCCTTAGGATAATTCAAACCTGATGTAAAAAAATTATTTTGTTACTTTTCTTGATATTCTGTCTGGTATTTGTCATAGAGTTTTGCATCTAATTTCATAAAGGATGTTGGACTATGGTTTCACTGATTTGTACTTTTTTTGTAACTGACTTTGGTATCAAGATAATGCTGTTCTCAAAGAATGGATTTGCATTTGCTGGAAGAAACTCTCTAAAATTATATTATTTCTTCTTTACACCTGCAGTAATAAAAAGCCTCCTGGATCCATAGAAGTAGCAGTAGATGGCTGTTGGACTGCAGAGCAGTGACAATTAGCATTGAAAAGCCATCCTTGGCAAAGCTGACTCACCAGTCATTTTTGCAGACCAGGAGTTGGCAAAACCAGGGCTTTAGTGAGCAAATGGTTGTTCCCCTAACTTTCTCAGGCACCACTACTATGCCTTCCTGATTTGAGCAGCTGTGGGGCTCTTTCAACAACCCTTTAGTGGTGTGTTTTATTCTAGTTCAGCACACATATAGCTGTGGATGACCAGGAAGATGATGCTTAGGTTGTGTAATTTTGATGAACAGATCTAATACTAGGATATTTTACATTACTCAGAGTGACATAGGAATCTCATTCACAAGGACAGCCTTTTATACAGACAAGCTAACTTTAGACTTCATAGCAAATTCAAAGCAAGCTGGTTGCCCCTGGAGACAATATCTGATTGTCCCTGGAGATGAATACACCAGGTCATTTCCACAGGTTTGTTTTGCTGATTCAAGGCCAGAGTTTGAAGCAAATTTACTCCCCAACCTCAGGGTTCATCCAATTATTTATGTTGCCTGGGAACCCTCAACAAATTATAGCTACATGCAATGTCACTTGTTCATTGGCTGGTCGTTGTTGACATTACTATTCTGAGAGGAACTACAGGACTTATCTTGGAGCTTGAGAAAGGGTAGGTTCTGAAAATGTAACTTGTAATTGTACAGAGTTCATCTATGAGAGAGAAGAGCCAGAGGAGAAGTCAGTGAGGCAGAGATTGAGGAGACAGAGGCAGCAGCAATGTAGGGGGGCAGAAGGTCAGAGAGTGCAAACAGCAGCAGGGATGAAGAGGAAGAAAGACAGCAGCAAAGGTGGGGCAGAGAGAGAGAAGGACATAGCAAAAAGAATGATATAGAACTAATTAGGGTTTGCTGCTGAATAGAGCATTGGGAGGAGAGAGAGAGCAATTTTTAGGAATGGAATTTTCAAGATGAAGTAAAGATAAATTTACTATCAGAAAGGATCTGTGTTTCCTTACTTTTCCCCCTCAGATAGAAAAGTCTAGCTCTTGCCACATTTGTGGATTATTTTACAGATCCTGGTGCCGACTGGGCCTGGACCCTTATAGTCAGCTACAAGTAGCTTTTAGATTTTTTTCTTAAAATAATATAAATCTAATTTCTTGAGCAGATATAATTCAGGTGACCATGTTTATCCTAAAAAGGTATGATAGTTAATCATAATGATTATTAATGTGACAGGATCTTGAGTCACCCAGCGAACACACATTCAGAGATATCTGTGGTGCAGCTTCTAGACTGGTTAATGGAGGTGTGAAAACGAATCAAACTGTGGACAGAGAATTCCATCATCTGGAGTTTCTGGCTACATAAATAGGAGCCACTGATTGAACCAGCAGTTTTCATCTCTGTGTCTTCTCACCATGGATGCAACATGGCCAGCTTCCTCATACTCCTGACACCATGGTATCCATGTCATGAGGGGCAGTACCCTTAGACCGTGAACCAAAATAAACCCTTTCTTCCTTGAATTGCTTTTGTCAAGTATTTTGTTGCAGCAACCCAGGAATAACAAATATACTGAGTTTAGGGCTTTTTGCTTTCTTTGAGAAAATACCTGACTTATCTGAACTGTCAAAGTTATTTACATGGAGTTGTCAGAATACTTATTTTAAAAATGTTTGTGTTGGTAACAAGTGGTTTTCACAATTTTCATTGATTACAGATAGTCATTATCCATGGTGCTGTGTCATATAGCCATATCTTGTTTGTTGTCATATGTATCTACAGGCAGTCAGAAGGTATATATCAAAGAACACACATATATTTTTTTCTGAGACTGGTTTAATTCGCTTAAAATGAGTAAGACCCTGTCTGGTCTTATCCACTTCCATGAAACAGGATGACCCTGATATCAATTGCTTTCCATATTTTTTAAATAATTCCTATCAGTGAACCCAGAGCCCATCTGTCGACTGTGCTGACTGACTAGAAGACCCCAGTGACCATGTGTACCCTTGCCCCAACTTACATTTGTCTACCACAATGTCTGGTTTGCTCTGTAGGTTATGAGATCTGAATTTACATCCTCATGATTGCACAGCAAACATTTTACTCACTGAACCATACCCCCCAAAATTCTAAATCCCTTTAAAATCTGTTAGCCACTTACTTTACATTTCTGGCAGTTGTGATTTTTTTAGATATATTCCTTAGTACTAAGAGCTGGTTAAAAATATAGGAAAATAATCTTTATTCTTCTTTGGTAAAAATCAACAGGATTTCAAACACAGCTGCTAATCATAGTAAAAGAGCAGTGTAAGTTAATGTTTACAGATGAATCATTAAGACAGCTTTGATACCAAGAGATTACACACCATCATTTAAAGTCCATCTTTAACGTTAGTATTCTACATTATGCTGATTTTATCATGTTAGTACATAATCACTGTCAACAGTTAAAACTTAGAAATGTCCCATTACAGTGTCAATCTACATGAACTGAAACATTTCCTTCTTTGGTCCATGGACCTGTGATTCAGCTTCTTGCTGTGCTAATGTTTTCTTCCATTTTTGTGTAGATATTATATATGGGTACTCTAGATTTCGATGCAGGTGTCTTGATTTACAATAGATTGTGTTGATTGGGTTACCCATCACCAGTGTCCACAAATCATGCCATTGCAGAAAGGTTGAACACTTTTGATATAATAGATAATTTTACATTGTAAGGAATGAGGCTGGCTATTTCTGACCCATCACAGTCCTGCATAACTTGGTTCCTAGTTTCGTGCCAATGGTTCAGAATGTGATAAGTGTCCATGTGTATCCTTGAGATCATCTTAAAAAGGTACTTCTTTCTGAGTAGCGCTGTTGGTATCTCCTCTGTGGTAAAGATGTCAATGGAATCCTAGATGAACAAACTTAATATAAGATAAGATAAATATAATTTCAAAGATTGTGCTGAATATTTTGCACACTATATTCAACAAGAGTCACCCTTGAGCCCAATTCAATACCATATTCAGCTCTGCTTCAAATGGCAGGATGGCACAACTCTTTAGGCCTTTAGCTTATGACACACGACTTTCCCTGCTTATTTCTTAATTCTTCATCAATTTGTATTATTTTCTTCTTTAGGTCTTCATATTGCTAAAAAGTAACAAGTAGAGACAATGAATCATTACAATGAGTAGATCCTTTGGTTCTATGCAGATGCCATCATAATATTTGTTAGTAATTTTTAAAATTTACTTAAACCTTAATTTTTATTATCATTTTAATCTGTTTTTGTTTGTGAGTAAAATTCCATGTTCAGAGTATTGCCTTTGCTTTTCCTCTTTTGGAAATTTTAGACTCCTCCCAAAATTATGTCTTTTCTTGGATACCTATATTTTTCTTTGGGGTTATTTTAGCTAAGAAACAGTTCCATTGATTAAGTTAAGGTACTGGTGTTGATTTCTATCATCAGTTGTCTACAACCTGTGTAGGTAATCATGCGTTTGCCCTCTATATTTATTATCATAGACTTTAATACAAACTCTTACTCACCCCTTATGGAAACATGAAACACAGGCATGAATTCTAAATATCTCACTAAGGCATTGAATCTTAATCTACAAAATGTAGTTGGGATGGAGGTGGGGGCGTGGCAGAGTCAGGAACATCTCTGCTAGAGTCACAGGTATCCATGTTGGAAGTAACCATAGCACTCTTCTGTAATACCAGACCTGGAAGGCAGATATAACAGATCCTTGAAACTTAGTTCTCAGTGGCCAGCAAGAGTAGTCCCATCTGGGAGCTTGAGATTCAGAAAAAGAACCTGTCTCAAAAAATAAAGTGAAATTGACAGAGGAAATTGGAAGTAGATCTCTGGCCTTCACATCCATGTGCAGAGATGGATACACACTAACATGTACACACATGTGTACACTCAGAGAGAAAAAAAAGAGAGAAGAGATAAGGGGTGGGAAGGAGAAATTTAGTGTAGACTTCCACAACTTTGTAGCAGGGTGCCAGACAACAGGTTAGAATATGAGAGTTCCAGACTGAAGATAATGAATCTCCTCATCTAACTCCCAAATGAACACAAATTGAGAGCAGTGTACAGGAAAGAGAAGGGGAGGGCAGACTGTCACATACTTATGAAGGTTAAATAGTTCATCTCTTCATGGATACTCTTTTAGGAATAAACTTTTACCATGTGAGATAGAAAAACTATCTTTGTGGAAAAACAGCCTAATCTATCGATTGTGTCTTATAACTAGTTATTTTTCTTTAAGACAGGAGCTTGTGCTCCTGATGGATTTTCAATTCCCTATATAGTTGAGGATGATGTTGACCTTTTGAATCTCCTGACTCCATTTCCCAAAGTAATAAGATTGTATATTCTTTTAAAAATGAGTGAAGCTATGTAATAGGAATAGTTCTTGGTTCATAGAGTCTTAAATAGGAAATAAAGATATAAGAGAAAGAGCATAGCTGGGCCCTAATTGGGGACACCTGATACCAAAGGTCTGCTCACCAGATTGCAACTCAGCTGACAGGCTCCAGCACACCCAGAGACTGCCAAGGCCCTGATAACAGTCCCACAACCATCCACAATAAGAGAACTGACATCAGAGTATTGGAACTGTTTTCATTTACCAGAAGGGAACCTTGGTCCCATAACCACCAGGAGAGGAAGAGA